TATAATATCTATGATTATATATATATATAGATTATATCTATGATTATATATATAGATATATATAGATATATATAGATATCATATGATTTGATGTATGCTTTTTTTGTCTTTTTGGACAAATCTGTTCTTGATGCTGTTTTCACAAAAGATCCATAAATCATTGATGCAGGTAAGAAAAACAAACAGTCCACTAGTATTGTACAAGTTCAGTTTAGTAAAACATCACATTTGCATGTTTATAATTATAAAACATTTTAAAAGTGAGTAATATACAGTAGCAGTATAGCAGTATTTACTGTGTTACCTGAATGGCACCTCCTGCAGGACAGTCCACCCATTCAGAGTCAGATACTTGGAGCTGGTACTGGTTTGGTCCAGTACACCTGTGTCTGTAACAGCGTCCCTCCACGGAGCTGCTAAGCTGAACAACATTCACCTGAAACAAACCAACAGAATTAACAATCTTAAACTGTCCTTCTTTTACACTCTTCAAACTCACCATCAGCCCACACTGCCTTTAAATTTATAGTTACACTGAACGATTTAAACGCAACACTTTTGTTTTTGCTCTCATTTTTCATGAGCTGAACTCAAAGATCTAAAAAAAAAAAATTTACTTTCTACACAAAATACCTTTTTCCGCTCAAATATTGTTCACAGATGTGTATAAATGTGTTTTAGTGGGCGCTTCTCTTTGCTGAGATAATCCATCCACGTCACAGGTGTGGCACATCAAGATGCTGATTAGACAGCATGATTATTGCACAGGTGTGTCTTAGGCTGACCACAATAAAAGGCCACTCTAAAATGTGCAGTTTTATCACAGCACGATGCCACAGATGTAAGTTTTGAGGGAGTGCATGTGGCATGCTGACAGGAACGTCCAGATTCAGAGAATTTGTCAGAACATCCAACTGGCCTCACAACCACAGACCAGCCCCCGTGTCCATGACACACGCCTGCTCGTACCATAACCCCCCCCACCATGGGACGCTCGATTCACAACATCAGCAGCAAACCACTCACCCACACAATGCCACACACAGTCTGCTGTTTGCCCTGTACAGTGAAAACCAGGATTCATCCGTGACGAGAACGCCTCTCCAACATGCCATACGTCATCGAATGTGAGCTCTATCACACTCACGTCATTTACAACAGCAAACTGTTGACAGGTGGAGACCCCAATGTGGAAGACGAGCATGCAGATGAGCTTCTCTGAGACATTTCTGACAGTTTGTGCAGAAATTCTTGGGTCATGCAAACTTGATTGTTGCAGCAACTGTGCAGGTGGCTGGTCTCAGATGATGCTGGTGTCACAATCCTCAGTGTTGGAACCCAATTGCAGAGAGGCGAGCGAGGCAGGAGTTTAAAAATAAAAATAATTTATTTTTAATAACAAAACAAAAGGCTGTCGGTGCAGCAAAACTTACTTGGGCAGATAGGATCAGAAACAAGGCAGAGCAGATCATCAGGTGGACAAGCAACAGACAAGACAGAAGAGGACTGAGATGTCTGTGAACACAGAACAATGACCGGACAAGGAGTGAAGGAGAGAAAGGCTTTTTATAAGGCAGAGGGAGAGTGAGTAATGAGAGCACTTGGGCAGGTGGCTGATGAGGGACAGGTGTAAGTGATAAAGACTGAGGAGTGGAGAGGCAGACTGAGGAGTGAGTGATAAAGACTGAGGAGTGGAGAGGCAGACTGAGGAGTGAGTGGAAAACAGGACCAGATGCACAGAAACAGAAAACACACAAAGAGCAGAGGCTTAGGCAGATGGGG